AGAGAATGGGTTCCACAAAGACAGTTTATGCATTATAGTAAGAACTTGGTCCAGCTGCCAGTGGCTTCATATACTACCCAAGTCACACCACTGTCACCTAAATTCAGGGGTTTCTTTTTAGGAATAAAATTCACATTCTGATGATTGTGTAGCAAGTGCTTTACCAAATGAGCCATCACTCTAGCTCCCAGGTTCTTCTCTTACAGGCAGAATGGAGACAGTCCTGATGTCATGAAAGGCTGCCTGTTAGAGGATTATGGGAGCATGTGGGTTGGATAGTACTCACACAGCTCTGGTCCCTGGAATTCTGCAGACTCTATTCTCTATTTACTTTTTCTTAAACTGATGGGATCCATAGCCATGTGTGGAGTTAATTTCAGCATTTAATAATCATTAAGTAAAGAGAGTGAAATATCTACAGTAAGTAATTACATAAAACATGCTTCTGGCAATATTTGCCCCCTTGGAAATTCAAACAGGAAGGCTCCAAGGAGCAAGGTTGTATTCTTGGAGGTGGACACAAAGTAATTGAGCTTAGCTAATGGAGATAATTAATTAGGAAATGGATGTTCTCACTTCTGAGAAAATTATTGGAAGGATCTCCCAGAAGGCTTAGCCTTCTGCTCTTGCTAAAATCAGTGACATCCAGAGGGTCACCGCCCAGCCACACAGAATTACTCAATGGCCAGAGAGCTGGCCCATTCATACAGGTCTGTAGTCCTAGCTATCCAGGAAGCTGAGGCAGGAGGATTACTGGTTCCAGGCCTGCCTAGGCTACAGAGTATGTTCAAGATGAGCCTGGAGAGCTGAGTTAGAGGGCTAAGGACGAAGCCTCATAAGGAGTGTTTGCCTAGCATGTGCAAGGTCCTCAACTGAATCCTCATTACAGGTCTCAGAATGCAGTTCAGTTAGTAGGACGTTGCTTAGCACACACACACACACACACACACACACACACACACACACACACAAATAAGCCCTGGGTTCAGTCCCCAGTGGGTGTGGTAGCACACACTTTTAATCCTAGCACTTAGAAGGCAGAAGTTCAAGGTCATTCTGGGCTGCATCTTGAGTTGCAAGCTAGGCTAGTGCACATGAGACTCTGTCTTAGAAAAACAATGCTCATAATAATGTTTTTTGCTTTGTTTTGTTTTTGCTTTAATTTTGTTTTTTAAAGAAAGGAAGGAAGTAGGGAAAGGAAAGTAGGAAGAAAACCAAATGACAAGGGAACAGAACACAGCTCTTGCCTACAGCTTTTATCCCAAAAGACACTTGGCTCCACATACTGGACAGAGTCCTGGATAAGGCAGGGTCTGAGTCCCATCTTCCCTGTGTAAGCTCTCTGAATGTGGCCACGTTATCCCTCCTTCATAGGGCTTGGTACCTTGATTGTACATAGGACTTATGATCATAAATGCAGTATCTAGCACCAGTGAACCTGCTCTCTAAAAAAGGGAGCTGGAAATCAGAAGACACTTCCCTGCCCATCTCGCTAAACCCTCTCTGTGCATGCCTGGGATTTGGTTCCTCCCCCTGGATTCCCTTTGTGACCCTTTTCTTCCAAGGTTTAAGCTGAAAGAACCTGCACCCTGGCCTGATCTTCCCAGCTTGTCTGCTTGTTAGGCCCTTCCTGGTACTTTCTGGTTCTAAGTTATTAAGGCCTCTTGCCTAATGTGTCCAGTTACTGGGTCACTCCTGGTACTTTCAAGTGACTGACCTTCAACTTTCCATATTAGCCCTCTGGTTTGCCACCCAATGGGAGCCAAAGGCAACACAGTAGTGAGGGATTTCACCCAGGTCCTTTAACCCCATCTTCTACAATCTGAGCATTTCAGGGTCAGCCAGGCCAAAGAACCTGCAGTATGCTTGGAATCTAAAAGCCCACAAATAACGTTGGGCCTGAAGGAGTAGCAGCCCTCAGTCCTTCAGGGTCAGAAAGATGGGGATCAGGCCATGGAGGTCACAAGCAAAGGCACGTGAGTGCTCATGGCTTGAAGAATGCATCCATTATCCAGGCAGAGGCTTGTTCATCTTGCCCACCAGCTATCCACACCATTGAGCTCAATCGATAGTTATTGAATGAGAGAGAAGCTGTGGCCTAAGCCGACGAGCAGAGACCTGTTACAGATGATATTTTTGCTTTCTGGTGGTGGCAGATATTACATTAGGTGTCATCAGGAACTGGCACCGAGAGGCATTTGTTTTCTCTGTTGATAAAAACAGGTGCTTTGTATCCTTTTGTAGGACCAACGGATCTATAATACATGTTCCTTTCACTTTCCCTCCTCTTAGTAAATCTACGATAGAGAGTAAGATGGGGAGTGTCTGTCCTCTCTGTCCCTTCCAAAGGCAGTCTTTTTACCAAGGCAGTGGAAGTGGTCAGGAAAGAATTCATGGAGAGCTAAGGGCAAAGTCAGCAGATCCAGGAGAGTTATGGATTCAAGCCTTTTGGGGAAACAGTCCAGTATTAGGGACAATGCTTGGGTTTAGACACCTACAAATTTCCCAGGTGGCAGGTCTGCAGGGCACTGTTCTAAAACTCAGAAGCAAAAGGTGAATCATGTATGTGTTCATGAGGCTTATCCCATTGGAGTCAGATATGAGTGTCTTGGGGTGTCAGCCCCTTAAGTAGGTATAACCACTTGTGTCTGGGATAGAAAATTGTGTGGAGTCACTCTACTGTCTTGGCTATATTCATCTTTGTGGTAAAAGTCTGAACTGCAGTGAGTTAGTGATGTCTGCCATGGACATAGGTAAAGTAATTGTGTTGTTTGGAGCTGTTCACCATGATAGCTTAACAAATATGCAGTGTGGTTGTGAATTGGTGAATTATTTCAGGATAGCTCTTAAAAAAATGTGAGCATGGGAAGATCCTATCTGGAGTTTATATTGATCCTGCAGAATGGAAGTACCTACAATAGCTCTAGACTCTTTGTCTAAATGATTGAGTCCTTTGGCATAAGAAGATAAGGTCCAGAAAACAGAGAGCCATGTGGACTTCCACTACAAAACCAACTTGTAGGCTTATCAGTGGCCACTCAAGAGCCCTGACATTAGCCCAGGCCTAAGTTCTGCTTTCTTAAGTATGACCTCCTTCTCCGAGTTGAGGAAGGTAGAGTCAGAGAATAATAAACACATTCTTAAAGAAAAAACACTTAAAAGTTACTTGGAAATGGTTTTCAGTGGCTGTTTATGCTTAATGCTATTTTCTGAGCAGGGGTACGTAAATCCTAGATAGACATGCAGCTTACGATAATGGGTGTAATGCTCTCTGTAGAGCCAGACATGAGTTGTCCTGTCTCCACGTGTGATTCAAGTGAAGCCTTTCACAGCAAGGCCTGTTGTGGGGAAATGATTCAAGGAAGTGCATAATGCTCTGGTGTTATTGGAAAAGCATCCAAAAAGTGGGTGACTTGTAAATAAGGAAAGCTCAGAAGCCAGGTGGCCCCAGGCCAAATCCCTGGCAAGATCTACATCTGATCAGATTTGCATGCTCACACCTGGCTGTCTCTGATCCCCTCACTCTGGGGAGTGGTGAGGGGCCTTTATGGGACCTATTTCACAGGGGCTTGAGACCCATGTTTGGCCTCTGTTCTCATGATCTATTTCCAAAAGCCTTTTCCCCTTAATATAAAGAGTTAGAATTTCAATGTACAGATGGCGTGTGTGTGTGTGTGTGTGTGTGTGTGTGTGTGTGCATATGTGTATGTATGTAAGTGTGTGTGGGAGGGTATGGTATATATGTGTATTCATGTTGTAGATCCATGCCTGTGTGCACACATGTATGCCTGTATGTGATACCCTAAGGTATCATTCCTCAGGAACTGTCCACCCTGTTTCTTGGGACAGTCCCCTCACTGGGACTTGGAGCTTGTAGAATAGGCTAGGCTGGCTGGCCAGTAAGCTTCAGGGATTCCCCTATCTGCTTCCACAGTATTGGAATTAAAAACTTGTGCCACCAGGCCTGACTTTTTCATGTGGTTTCTGAAGTTCAAACTCAGGTCCTCATGCTTGCAAGATAAGCCCTTTACCGACTAAGCCGTCTCCTGAGAGTCCTCAACGTATGGATTGGGGAGAGACACAGATATTAAAAATGTAACAAAGATCACATGAGAGTGTTTATGTGGCAAAAAAATGACCATTGGATCAACAAACAACCCTCAGCTGTCAATGGAGACATACGTGTGCATGTTCAGGTGTGCATATCGGTACATAAGACCTCTCAATCCAAGAAGCCAGTGGGTGTCCCACCAGAACTGGCCCAGTACCTTTTCATTTCTGAGGGCTGTCTCTGCCTGACTTTTTTCCCCCAGCCCTTCACTCCAGGAGGTTTAATCCTGCCTAGAATGTTCTGGTATGCCTAGGTACCAACTTAGGGATTTTCAAACAGAACCTCTGTTTTAAAGAGACTACCTTGTGAGTGAGTGTGTGTTAAATATATAACAATGAGTGTGCATGAGAGAAAGTGAGTGTGTGAGAGTGAGTTTGTGTGAATAAGAGTGTGTACGTGAGTATATGAGAGTGAGTGTGTGACATACTCAGTGCTGAGTTTCACATAAACACTTTCATTCTGCTACATATCCCATCTTGATGGCACATTCTCTTGCCATCATACCCTCTGCACACAACCCACCTTCTGCTAGCCCTCTGCCTTCTCCCAGGTGGCCCTACTTCTACTGCTATGTATGCAAGTGGTTTTCAGGCGTACCTCTTGGGAATGCCTCCACCCATCCCCATCATAGCGCCCTCTCCTGGTTATGTTAAGATGAGCCCGCACAGAGTGCTAAGAATTAAGATGGAAAGAAAGTGCAGCCTCTGCCTTCTGTGGTGTGTGTAGTAAATTAGAGCTAACTTTTCTGCAAGTAGAAATATACTGACCCTCTTAGTACCTCTCCATACCTTTCTCAGAAATTCAGGAATGTACCATCAGCTTGCCAGCTATTTACAGAACATGTGTTTTCTGTTTGCAGAGACCATGGAGCATCCACACAATATTTATGTTTTTTTTTTAACATTTAGCTTTATATTTAACTACATATATGAGTGCATGTGGGGGTATGTGCACACAAGGCAATCTCAGAGACCAAAGGAGGGCATCATAACTCCTGGATCTGGAGTTACAGGTGGTTGTGAGCCATCCAACATGGGTGCTGGGAACCAAACTTGGGTCCTCTGCAAATACAGCTTGTGCTCTTAACCACCGAGTCATCTCTTTAGCTCCATAATTTGTGTTGAAACCACAGTAGCCCCAAGAGTAACCAAGACATTCTTTGCTGAACCAGAATGTGAAGTCAGCTTAGCAGAGACAGGCTTTGAACACTTCCCCTGGGGGGGGGGGTCTTGCAGAAGATGGCGGGAAATGGGGTTGATGGTTCATTGCATGGGCACATGAATTAATACGCAGTTCTGAGCACGTGTGACTGCCAGTCTTGCTGTGTGATTGGTTATTGGCATAGGCAGAGATTACAAGCGTGAGGTGCTGAAGTATGCAGGCCAGAGCCTCCTGGTGGGTCTCAAAGGCATGGTGATGCACCAAGTAGACTATGATGCTTAGAAACAATCAGGCATTCGCTCCCTTGCTGCTACTCCCCTGGGTAAATTATTTAACAGTTTAGGCTTTGAGTTTTTCACGTCTGAAAATGAGAATATTCATTTCCTTCTGTGGTGATGGGGAGGGTTCCATGTGATAATGTATGAGAAACATTCCAACACCCAGGACACTCTTCCTTCTGTTGGCAGTCCAGAGTGTCGCTTAATGCACACAGAAAACTGGCTGGTGGGGAAGGGCTGTAACAGTGAGAGTTCATGTATAGGTGTTGTACTGAATGCTGCCAGGGCCCATGAGTGTAACATGCCCCATGCTCAGGAGCAATTCAGGGAAGAGAGCTTCCCTGCCCAAGGGAGTCCCACATGCAGGAGAGATCCTCTATCCTTCATCCAAAGGTAGAACTTAAATCATGACCTTGAACTGGAGTCACCAGTCTCTTTCTATGTAACTGTAGGGTTCTGCCACAAACAGGGTCCACGTAGGAGAGAGAAAGGTTTCTGGTCGTACATGCTGCTGGTATGTGCCAGCACTTTAATTATGACATGGGTTCTCTCATTTGGCACAGAATCGGGCTTCAAAGTGATGTTAGAGAGAAACCAGTGCCCATGACCAATACCAGGTAAGGGGTATACAGAGGAAGAAACAGGGTATGGCACCCTGAGTGGCTTAGTCCTGAACATATGGGGCCTTCTGCAGTGGGACTTGACTCTTCTGAATGTGTAGATACAGTGAGTGAGAGGCTAGTGTTACTCTTCAGCATAAAGAAGTTCTCTGGACCCTTCCATCGTGGTCTCACTTCACCAGGAGATCCCAAAATGGTGGCCCAGCCAAAGCTCTGCACACTGGCTGATCTTGGGGAAAGAACAGAGACAGGGAAAGCTGTCAGGGAACATGTAAGGCGGGCTTCCTGGCAGGCACTTGTTTTCTAGATACAGACAAGCTTTGGATCAAATGGCAGGGTGACCTTGCCTGTCCACTACAACACCGTGCAGTGCTATGGGAGGTCTTGCCTGCTCACTGAGACATTGAAACACTGCAGGAGAACAGTGGGAGGCCTTGCCTGTCCACTGCAACACGGTAAGACTATAGTGGGAGCCCATGCCTGTCCATTGCAACACAGTAAGACTGTAGTGGGAGGCCTTGCCAGCTCATTGCAGCATTGAAACACCGACGGACTACTGTGGGAGGCAGTTCCGTGGAGACTCCAGGCTGGTCTCCATGTAGCAATGGCCCCAACAGAAAGATGGCCAGTGTTTGGCTCTCAGCTTTTCTTTTTTGGTGTGTGTTATGGGGACTTCTGCCTTGGCATGTCTACAATGCAGTCTGGGGAAGCTGCTTGGTTTTTGCCTCAAGTACATCAGCTAAGGCTCCACTTGTCCTGTGCTGGCATCACCCGGCAACCCCTGCTCCTTGCTGGCTGTGTCCCACAGGTGCTGCTAGGTTCCCTGTCTGTCTGGGAATGTGGTTTCTGCTTGCAGATCCTAGCACCTAAACATGGACCTAAGTAAAGACCACCTGCTTACGTGAGCATATTTAAGACCTCTGAGCCTCAGCTCTGGCAACTGTGAAGTCAAGTAACAGCTGTCACAAGTTCACATCTGGTCCTTATGATGATAACTCAAAACCTCGAAGTTCATTAGAGCATGGCCTGTGCTAGCATAGCTCTCTAGTCTGAAACATGTTTTCTGACTCTTATCAACTAAGAGCCAAGCATAGTGGTACAAGCCTATGTCCCAGCACTGGAGGGGCTGGGGCAGGAATATCTTGAGTTTGAGGCTAACCTAGACTACATAGTGAATATCAGGCTAGCCTAGGCTATAAAGCAAGACTCTGTCTCAATAAATCAAAACCAAACCTAACCAAACAAAACTAAAATCTGTTAAAAATAACAAGATATTTTAAAGACTACTGCCAAACACATCATTCATTTGATGTCGTTTGTATGCAACTACTTTGGGATGTTTCTGGAAGCTTCCATAATAAGAGATAGGGATCCAAGAAGGGTGTAAGTAGTCAACCAAATCATTATCTTAATTTCTGGAATATTTTTCAGAAGTTTATAATTTTAAAAAAGTGAAAGAGGAAAGGAGTCCGAGTTTGTGCTGTGATGATCAGGCAGATATACACTGAAGGAGAGGGGTTAGGCAGATCATGTGACCATTTGCTTCTTGGAAAGGAGGCGACAATGGCAGAGAGAGGGCCCTGGCCTGGTCCTACAGATTCAGAAGACACAGAGAACCAGGGCCCAGGAGTGAATTCCCCAGAATGAACCTGCATGTTTCAGTTTAAGATCAGGCTGGGCTGTCTTGTACCCTGACTGCACTTGTGCCTGAGGGGATGCGAGGATGAAGCCAGGGGTGCTCTCCTATGGATTAACACATTTTATCAGGCTTATTCCTCTAACTAGCCTGCATCCGAGCATTTTAACTTTTCAAGATAAACCTGGCATGGCATGCCGTTCAGCTGACATTTGCTGGGAGACTGGAGAAAAATATCTGAATTAGAAGAAGAATCTGAATTAGAGATGGGCCCATACCCATGAGACTGTCCTGCTTAGCAGATGTGAGTCCCGACTTTCAATCCTTATGAAAAGGCCATTTTACCATTTTGGCCCATTTTTGAGATCACCATAATTACAGTTAGTTTATAATTTCCTTTGGCATAGGGCTGGATGCTTTGATTTCAAATGTCTGGATCTTGGAACTGGGATGTAAAATGGAGGCCATTTGTCCTAAAAGTCTGTGGGAAGGTGTTCCCTTGAGTCCTTGCTGCCCCTCTGCTGGCCGTGCTTAAAGGTTATTGTCTGGGCTGCTGCTTGGCGTGGCAAGTAAATCTGTTGCTCTGACATATGTTGTGAGTCAGGTCTAGGGTTGCACACAGCTCCTCCCTGTAATGTGCCATAAGGGCATCCTGATGTTAGTACAGTCAATTTACATTCTAGTTTACAATCTGAACAAATTTGCCTGTATGTCTGAAAGAACAGACCCACCCCAAAATGAAGCAAACATAGCTTTGAGGGGGAAAGCAGCAATGCGTTTTCTGTCCTCACAAAATAATAACTCAAGAGGTGCTCAGAACCCCAGGTCAGGGAAGACAACAGGGAAATAAACAGAGTACAAGAAAAGCAGCAATAAGTACCATAAAGATAGCAGAAAGCTTTGGGAATGTCTCCACCCTGGAGTTCATATATTTTTAAATGTCTAGTTGTATTTTAATATCTAGTTATAAATAAAGAATCTGGCTCAGGCACAGGAACACTACTTTTTAAAACTTTAACATCTAAGAATAGTGTGGTGCTGGAGCTGGTCTTACTTTACATACTTACCAGTGACTCGGAAGAGAGACTGCACATGTTTGTGGTTGCTCTGTAATTGTCAAGAACAAAACTACACAGCTCTCTAACCCAGCCTATGGATGGAAGTTCACCTTAAGGTAGTTTGCATGGAAGCACCCGAGGTGTTTCTTCTGATCTCAAGAGCTTTGCATGGAGATGGCTGTTGTGGCTACAGTGATGTCCCTGAGCTAGTGTGTCCCAGAATCCAAAAAGCCCAGGATTGCTTAGGAATTAAGAAAAGAACCCCTAAATATCTCAGTGTGTGAGCAAGCATACAACAAACCTGGAATACAGCTGTTCACAGGTCTAGGAACCAGCGAGGTATTGGCTGATCCAGCCTGGCCTTGGCTGAGTTGATCCACAGCTCTGCATCTGCATGTTCCATTGTGGAACAGGAGCAGAGCTCGGCTGAGGGTGGATGCTTTAGTTGCATGTGGCAGATGAAGAATCAGTCACCAAGGTCAAAGCTTGGAGGGAAGACTGTCAAGCTTTGTAAAGACACACAGGGAATGGCTGACTCAGAGGGGACTTGTACCTGGGCTTTGGATCCCTTCCTGCCTTTAACAGATGTTTTCTGGGCAACCATGCCGTAGCAGGCATGGCACTGGGCCTAGAAATAGAAGAACAAGGCTAAGATTCTCCCACTGGGACATGATGGTGGCACATGACCTAGTCATCTCAACTCCATTCACAGCAACTCTACTAGGTCACCCAAGCTGAGATCTCACTCTGGCTCCTGAGGAAGCATAGATGCAACCTTCCCGTGGGTCTTCATCTCCTTGTGTTCAGCTCTGCCTTCCTTGTTGCCTTATGGACTGTCTCAAGGGAATACTACCCCAATCCTTCTGAATATAGCTCTGTCTCAGAGCAGGTTTCCAGGGCAACCAGTTCATAAAGACTGCAAGTAGAAATGCCTCTCTGAGGTCCTGATGCTCAGGCTAAATCTTGATGGCATCCTGAGAAAGTTCACCTATGCACAGAAGGAAGAGCAACTGAGAGATCCCAGGGATGGATCCTCCAGGGCATGGGGAGGGTCCAGTGAAGGTGTGATGGGGGCAGTTCTGGACAGACTACAAGGGTACAGAGAACTGCAGAAAGCTTGCATCTCTTTAGAAGCTGGTGGGAAGCCACCAGTGGGGTTTGACTAGAGATTTGACAACTTTGATCTGTTATATAGAAGTCCCTTGACTATATTTCTGGCAGACTGATGAATGGCCCTCAAGGGTCATGCTCTAATATGCAAATGTTACTCTATATGGGAAAAGGTGACTTTACAAATATGGATACTGGGGGATCTTGAGATGAAGATATTCTATTTGGTAAGAGACATCTTATACCCAGATAGGTCTAGAATAGTAACAGGCCCCTTCCAGGAGGTCAGATTTCAGGATATGATGATAGAAGCAGAGGTTGGAGTGAGGTGGCTATAAGGCCAGGTATGTGGGCTGCTTCTAGAATCTGGGATAGACTTGGGATCAATTCATCCCTGAAGATTCTAGAAGGAACCGACTCTGGTAAGCCCTCTTGGCTACCCTCTGATGACTCATTTTTTTGTGTCTGACCTCCAGAACTATAAAGGGATAAGTTTGTATTGCTCTGTGTTGTTTTCATTTTGCAGTCATTTGTTTCAGCACTGACAGGGTATTTAAACACAAAGTCAAGTGTTGAGGTGGCTGATAATATTGGAAGGGCACAATGATGGTGTCTGGAGTCATGTGACAGGATAGCTTGAGTCATCATGGGATGTAAAGAAGGGGTAGATGTGACTCAAAGTCTAGGCAGAGCTGGGCTCAGAATGTACCCCTAAATCTTCCTAGCAAGTTTAGTAGGTGCTCAGGGGCTTAGATTTCTCCTTTCTGGTATGGTGATTGTACTTGTCTCATGAATTTGTTGGGAACCTTCAGTCAGCTCAATGAATGACTTAACACCAAATTTGAGACATTGTGTCTTGTTCTGTCTGCTTGACCCCTCTTCTGAGAGCCAAGGGTGGGGCATCTTCCCAGACCCCTTCATCCAGTTCTCTATAGTACCTTCTGAATCCCACGTAAAAGAAGGTCCTTAACTTCTGGAACTGATCAGCCCATAAAGTGGCCCAGGCTCATTGTATGTGCCATTTGCTTATGTTCTCCCAGAGTGGTCTACAGAGACAACTTGGATGCAAGGAGCCAGTTCTTGAATTGATTTGAGAGAGACTCCTATGTAAGATGACATTGATCTGAGTTGTCCTGCCACAGGGCTGAGAGACTGGGCACTCATATGGCAGTCCTCACCTCTAATGGCTAAAGAGGACTAGTGTGCATTGCTGCTGCTGGCTAGGAATAGCCTTCAGCAGAAAGGCTAGAAATCACTGGCATGTATGGAGACTGGAGATGGCCTCTGAGATAGGCATAGTGGATGTGGTTGGGACAATTCTAGTATCTGTGCTTAGACAGAAACGCCTGAGTTATGTTGTGGGAGCAGACACCCTCTGGATGCTGAAGGGAAGTCAGCCACAGAGAGATATAGTCAAAACAGCTAGGTTGTGCTACCCAACACGGAGACACCCAGGTTCTTAGGTTCAAACCAGACTCATTCTTTCCCCAGGGTAAATCATTGAAACCCTTCTGGGAAGATGCCTTGAGCAGGTGACCACCATCATGGTGTGACCTTTAGAGAATAGAGGATGGAGGGTCCACTGTGATGACCCTGTATTTCAAGTATCAACAGAAGACCAAGTGGCTCTCAGTAGCTGGGAAGGAACTCGCAAAGCATTGCTCTTTGTGCGTGCTGTAGGTGGCCACCAAGGTGGCTCCAGTGGTACTCATGTCCTGAATCTCATGGCCAGTCCCGCTATTCCTTGAGGATCTAGAACACTGCTACTAGGGAAAGTCCCTTCTGTGACAGGTTCAGGAAAGCTCTCTATTTCCTCCTCCATTGCTGGCTTTGATGAAGAGGTCACCATTGTTAGGGAGACCTGCATGGCTAGGAACTCAGAGTGGCCTCCTGTTACCAGCTACCTAGGAATTGGGGCTTTCATTTTCACAACCCAAAAGGTAATGGGTCTGCCAACTGTCATATCAAGACCTGTCACATTATCTTTAATCCAGGCCAATCCCTTGAAGCCACTTGAGGGATTTTGAAGCACAGTATAGATTAAGATAAGAACCCCTCTCCAGCACAAACATAGACATGGAGGAACTAGTACATGCTGTTTTAAGTCTCTTAGTTGTAGTAATTTTATAGAGACAGAAAAATAATATATATGTGAAAATAGATCTAGGGACTATCCATAGAATCCTTGTTCAGAACCATGAAATTGTGTAGGACATCTCTACATTTAGCAATGTCCTTCATCTCAGGACAACAGAGTCCAACCCAGGCACAGTGTTGACTTGAGCTCTACCCTATAGACACCTCCAGGGTCAAGGTGCTGCACGTCAACACCCATCTTCTATACTTAGTGCTCTGGAAGGGTCTCCAGGCAGATGATGGCATTGACTCATCAGAACTCAAGATGTCACCTGGAGAATCTTAGCTAGCAGTGACTCACTAAAGAGCACAGCCTTCCACACTGCCTCCTACTGACAGACTAAGTTTCATCCCTTTCATGGGAAACCTGGGATAGCAAAAGATGGTTATAGTTCGTTATCAATTCAAAATACTGACTGAGCCCTAAAGTCTCCACTCAAATTCCAGTGAGTTCTTGGGTTCTGCCATCCCTAGAGAATCATATTACTTCCTTGCTTCAGACTTCTCATCCGTGAGTCCATGGGTACTACAAAGGTCTGGATTAAAATGCCGTCATTGACTAAGTACGTGGCCCTGAGTAAGTAATTGAAACACTCTCTGAATTTCAATGTCCACATCTGGGAGAAATGAGAAGCAAGAGCACACTTAAACAATATCGTAAAACTCCAGGGTCTGGTACTTAGTTGCTACTCAGTGGCTCTTCCTCCCCACTCTATCCACACATTAGAGGTATTTATGCAGAAAAGTTTATGCGACATATACAAGTTTGGGGTACTTACATAGAAAATGTCTCATGCTGCCTGCCTGACAATGAGAGATAATGTTTGGCTCCACATGGATGAGATTGATCAGCGTTATTTGAACTGCTTATAATAAAATGTGACAGGCAGACTTTGGTATTTTACCACCCGAATTTTCTTTTATAGACTCCTCACCATCGTTGCAAAGTTCAGCACTTTTTTTTTTCATGTCGATGTATTAGGCAATATTCATATCCTTCTTGGGCAATCGCCTTTGCAGCTGAATCAATGGCCTGCGGGCATGAGAAGGAGGCGGTTTTATCTCAACTTTATTTATTCTGTGATTATACTGAGACTATTAAATGGCATCTCCCCTTTCCCCTCCCCCTTGGCCCATTCTCCACCATCCTCCAAAACCTCTCGCACACTCAGCTCTTTTGTGAATTCTCCCACTGCCGTGCCTCCTGCTACCCAAATATTTCCCTCTGCTGGCGGCGTCCCAAGTTTGAATAAAGGCCTGCTGGATGAGTGAGCCACTATTCTGAGTCATTCAGTCACTCATTCAAGAAATACTCTTTGGGGATTTATTTACAGTGAGCTGATCCTGGAGGATACAGGAGAGAGGAAGGCGGGAGGATATCGTTGTTCCTATATGTAAAGGGGTTGTAGCTGGGATGTGTTCCAGAAGGGAGCCATTTCTGCAGAGGAGCCGTGTGAATATTCAGGAGCGTTGTTGTTGGAAGTGAATAGTCAAGAGGGAAGGTTTCCCAATGATGTGTCCTTCCACTCAAGGTGGGAAGGAAAACCACACCAAAGTGGAGGGCAGGGCATCAGGGAAGGGACGGCTTGTGCAAGGTCCTGAAGGCTGGAGGAGGGGAACAGGCCAATTGGAAGGCTCCTGAACCTGGAGCCTGACAGGTAGAGGCCACACACCTGCATCTTCATAGATATAACTGTGTGTTTCAGCCCCATGCCCAGGGGAATGGAGAGGCCCAAGGAAAACAGGGTATAGAGCATCATCAGAAGTGGACTTTCGTGTCACAGTAGGCTCTCTGGATGGAGGAGAGGGAAAGGATTGCCAGGAGCCAGTGTGGAAGCAGTTTTGGGATCTAATTTGGAGCCGATATGGCTACAGAACAGTGAGGTAATGGGTGTTGAGAGCAAAGCTACAAAGTACCGTGGTAGATTGAGCATGGAGGGTGCAAGTAGGATGGGCATGTAGCGTAATGTCTGCATTGGCAGTTCTCCTCATTTCCTGGCTGCCGCTGACTGCCATTCTGCCGCTAGAAAGCACTAGAAGAAGACCAAATTAGGGGAGCCAGGGAGTGTCCCACTTGGAGTAGTTTAGAATCTAAAAGTGATTGTACTTGAGACAGCCCATGCTTATCTGGCAGGAAGATGCCGAAGAAGTCTCTGGTTATTAGCTGATCTTGTTATGTTTTCCCCAATCCACCTCTAACCCACCTCAATCATAAGGCAGCAGTCTGTGCTACCAGGCTGCACTGTCTTTGTCTTATGAAAGGTGATCCAAGTGGCAAGGGCAGAGGTCGGTGGACTCATCACTCTCCCTCCTTGCACCTGGAGGAGTCAGGTGGTATCTTCCCATTTTTTTCCATCATAAAAATTCCACCCCTTTAAAGTGTGCTTGTATTCCCATTCCCACTACTTCTATTAATATCTTAAAATCTTCAGTGATTTAGGAAGTTATTGTGTATTGTTTGAGGAACCACTGGACCAAGGAAACCAAATAAACATCCTTGGTTTCACCAGACTGAGGTTGAGTGGTAGTGGCCACCTGGTGTGCTGTGTAGAAGGAGAATCTAAAAGCATAGCAGGGCTCAGTAGGAAGGCATTCTGGGATTAATTAGTAATGCCTGTCATAAGTTCAGGAAGGGAAAACAGGGTCACATGAGCCAAGTCAGTTTTATTCCTGCCAGACTCTTTCTTATCTGTAAGAAAAAAACTCTTAAAAATCCATGTACATTGTCAGAATCTCAAGTTATCCCCGAATGCCGTTCTTTAGATATTTCTGAGTTCCTTAGAGAACACATTGGAATGCAAGCACTAATAGTCAGCTGTTAGCTCTTGGTCTCCCACTCAGCACTTGGCTGCCCAGATGGGTCTGATAAATTATTTTCAACACCACATCTCACCACTGTCTCTGCCTTCTACTCCATCTCTGTATCTGGGTGGAGTTAGAATGTGGCCTCTGTTCTGAGCAGAGGAATTTCTGTCCCTTCCTTAACTTGTGTGCTGCTTCTGGGAGCCAAGGAGAGGAAAAATCTGATGGCCTCAATGGGCTGCACACCCTTTGCCCATGCTCACCTGTGCTTCACGGCACTGGATTTGGGAACAGAAAGCTGTTTGGGTGACTTTTTGAGAAAGCCCAGCTGAATTTTCACAAGTAGCATAGTTTTCAGGACATTGATTGTCACTCGATGCATTGGATCAGTGGGAGATCTGAAGGGAAGGAAGGGTGCTATGCCATACAAGAGGCACGGTCTGGTACAGTTGAGCTCAGTGACTTTTGGATTTATAAGAGTACATTTAATTTTTAACAGATTATATACACGATAGTGAGTGACATTAAACATACAGTTAAATCAGCCATAACCCATTTAAAGCAGCCTTGCAGATAAAGGTCTCAAATCTACTAGCCTACTGAATGTATCCCTTATCTACACACATCTGTCAATGACTTTTCACAACACTAAGCCTTTCTAATGCATCCAAGGCAATAGTTTTCTTTCCCCCAAGCATGAAATGCAGGTGACACCTACTGTCTGTGAACAAGATGAGGGAAAGCCCTTAGATTTGGCATGAGTAGATGTTTTGTGAACACAGACTTTTCTGGGACTCTGATAAGTCTTTGCCCAGTACCCTGATTGGAAAAGAGAGGATAGAAACACCCACAGACATGCTTTGTTCAATCCAGAGCAATATAGTTGAGACTGACTCCATTTATGTCATAGAACATTGTAAATGTTTGATACACAGCAGGGTTACTTCCTAATATTGCTGATACCAATGAGGGAAAAAACACTAACTATGCAAGTTAAACAGAAAGGAAATAATGCTGATTATACTAAAAAATTAGCAAAGACGTGATCATTTTGCAAGGATTAGAATTTCAATCATCACAAAATAGTTGATGTGATAACACAGATGTCACTGCTAGCATCCTAACAGCTCATGCACCTTTGGTTTGATGGACACAAGATGTCAAAGGGGAGGCATTGATCAGAGAACTACTGTCATTCACATGGCTGGAGAAAATCTAAGTGCCTGGGACTGCAGAATTTATAGGCTGCTTCCATTCCATTCATGTCCCAAGACTTCTTTGTCCTTGAGTCAATTAGGCCAGCATGGATGATTTTAATTTGGTGCTATGTGTAGTAATTAATCTACTGCCTCAAAATTTAGCAACTTAAAACCATTTATTGTCTAATGAATTGTAAATGAAAGGTTCCTAGTTTGGTGTCTTTCATGATGTTGCCATCTAGTCTAACATGTTGGTCAAGCAGGGAGCCAACTGTAGGCACCACTAGGGCTGAGGAGCCAATTCTTAGATGGCACCTCATGTGCTCACTGTGTCTCTCCATAGTGCTCCAGGGGCCCCTGCATGGCATGGTGAATTACCTTCACCAAAGCATCCCAGAGAGGAAGGCAAGGGAGGAACCAGCATGCCACATAAGTCCTAATCTCAGATATCGCACATAGTTATTTCTTCACACTCCAGATGTGGGAAGCTGGTCACTGGGGGCAGCTCCATACTTAAGGAGTAAAAAATTATTCAAGTCAACTCATAAAGGGAAGAATGTCTTAAAACTCGTTGGCATCTTTTAAGCCACCATGTGTGTTCACATCACCTCCTTTTCAATTTTAGATGTACAAAGGCTTTATCAGGGTCTCAGAAGGGTATGACATCACAGAAGACTTGTGTGTTTGTGTTCCCATTAAAAGGTAGTCTGAGCAAAATTTGCAACAGGTTCCCAGGGACTGCAGATGTCTGGGTACAGAGAGGCAAGGGTGTCACATCCACTCCAGGTTGTCCTCATGATCTCCTCAACTTTAAAGGGGCTATTTATGTTTGTGCTCATATTTGTATACGGGCACTTGTATATGTGTTTGAATCTTTGTCACTAATTCTAAACATACCCAAATGGTTTAAATATAAGAAATCTGCATTTCATTACTAAGAATATGTTATAATAAAGTTATGGAAATGTATGGTCTGCTGTACTGAATAGGACTGGAAGGTGTTACCTGCCCCACAGAGAGGCCCCTGAGGGCTGGGTTGTGTACTTGGTACACAGGAACTATAAAGGATTATTTGATGGGTGGATGGATGTCTGTGTATGTGTGTATGTATGTGTGTATATAAATATATATATGTATGTATTATGTAATTGTGTATGTGTGCATGACTGTATATATGGGTGGATTAGTGGGTAGAAGGAGACTGTTGAGTTCAGCTTGAATAAGCAGGTTCCAATGGCTTTAGTCAGCAGAATAATACTAAGCCCATGATAGGAAAAACTGGAGCATGGCTAAGAACTGTAATTTCAAGGGAATACTGTCTCTGTCCTTTGTAGTATACTGTATCAAATGGAAAGAGTCCAGCATCCAGGGGCTATTTGCTGTTTACATCTAAAAGTGAAACTGAGTGGCTTGCTTTTAGTCAAGACTGAGTAGAAATTCTATCTTCCTTGAAGATCTTTGTCTGAGGTGAGGGAAAGGAAATATATAGATTTAGGTTAGCATATAACACGTGATGCTTCTTGCTCATGGGTATGAGGCCAGCTGTCAGCAGGGTGGTTTGATCTTGGTTGAGCTTCCTTACCCTCCTTGGAGCCAAATGACAATTTGGGTCTATTCTGTTCTTGGCTGTGATTACGAGGAGATGGGTGTTGCTCCATCTCTCTCATACTTCAGAGGTCCTCTTGGGCATGCACATGTCCTCAGAGCAAGCGCAGGGGCACTAGAGAGGCAAGCTGAGACCTGCAGGTGTTTTCAAGGATACTTGCCAGTTCCTTCCACTGAGCATGTGTCAGGGGGACATTAAACAAGCACATGTGGCCATAAGGAACTGGGTAGTGGTTGTGTTTCCTCTGGAAAGCAAAGGACTATTCCTATGAACTTCAGATGGGTCCACATACTTTCTTTCTGAAAAGAGACCAATAGTAAATATTTCAGGTTTTGAAGACTCCATACCTATCCTAGACTACATTTTTCTCTTGTGTTTCCTTCTTTCTATCTTTTGTATTATAAATCCCCTCTCCCATTAATAATA